ATTGGGAGTTTTAGAAAGTCTCTAAGTCTGAAGAAAGCCCCAAGTAATCACTGGGGTCCAATATCTTAATTAATAAAAAATCACTCTGATCAAAGTTAATTAACATCTCTTAAAACATTGTTGGAAACCACTTAGAGTGTAGATGAACGGATGATGCAAATGTCCTCAGAAAGTCAATCAACAATCATTGAATACCAAGCACACAGATTAATCACCAATGATCACTGATAATTAAATGAACACAAGGATTCAAAACTGATATATATAAATGAACCAACATTATAGCATCTAATCTAAATACATAACAGTCTAAACACAAGATTTACAATCATAAACCAAGTCTAAAACAAAAGTGCAGAAGAGATTCCTAAATCAAGAAATCTCTAACACAGAATCAAACACAGATTTAGACTGATAACTCCCCTATTACATCCTTGAGCTCAAGCGTTGTCTTCCATCACCAAGAGGCTAATGGTTTAGCCTCTCATGTCTTCAAGCTGATTGCAATCGCTCCAGGAATGAACGGCGATAGTTGAAGCTAAAAATGGGATTGGAAAAATGGGGAAGAAGGTTGTTAAAGTGGTTTAATCGGTTCAGAAATGTAGAAAATGATGAAGAGATGAAGAAAAATAGAGGTTTTGAGTGTAGGATTAATGGAGACTTAAGAGGAGGTGATGGTAGCTCAACCTTATGCAAATCTAGAAAAGGGGAGAGTATGTTTTCGTGGTGGCTACCCCTTTTAGGTATAAAGGCTTAGAAACCTATTCCAAAATGCACAGCTTCACTTAACGCACTCAGGTCGTGACCTTAAGAGTGTCAGGTCGCAATTTAAGGGGCTCAGGTCGCCACCTCAGAATGTTCATGTCACAACCTGAGAAGACAGAGAGCTTTCATCTTGACTCAGGTCTAAAAAGTGTAGTTTCATTAAAAGGGCATCCAAGTTGTGACCTCAGAAGTCCATGTCATGACCTCGGGAGGCAGAACACTTCAAACTCTTATGTTTTGGTCCTTGTAAATTTGTGGCTCCATCAATGCTCCATCTTGGTTCTTGGATCCTTCTCCAGTTGCCTAAAAATCACGACGAAGAGCTTTGTAAAGACTAACTGATTACAAATCAAGGCAATTACAATTAAGGAGAGAAAAATGACCCTTTTTACCCCTTAACAGCAAAATGCATTGCATGATTCAATGTAATCAAATGGATATAAATGCATGCATAATAAGGGTAAAAGTGTTGCAAAACATTAGAAAACACTTGAGAAAACCATAAAAAGATTGGGTTCTATCAATTAGACTATTTATGGCATGAATGAAAATGTATAAGAATGAATGGGAAAGAATAAAGCCAAGTTATGCATGCCAAAATAATAAAAAGAATTAAAGCAAGAAAAAGTAAAGAGAAGCATGTAGGTCCTGGAGCAGTTAGTTTCGAGCTCCAGTTTGACCTATCAAATGAATGAGTTAATCCATTAAATTTGGTAGGATTATTTTGAACATCCTAAGATTTAATTTCATAGATAGTTTATCTTAATTGGATGTGTATGCTAAGAGATATGAATTTCCAAATTTGAGACAAGAAATCCAGAAGTTCTAGAATTTACCAAGTAAACAGTAAGTTTTACAGATTAAACTGTATGAATTGGCAAGGGATAAGTCCAGTTTGATATTTTCTCTTAAAGAGAATTGAAATAGCTTTGAGTAGAAATTTGGATCAAATCTATACGATTTTTGTAAAATTAGTTATGATTTTTCAAAGCTAGACTTATAATATGAAAATATGCATAGTGAATAGTAACCCAAGGACTTAAAGGAAAATTTCAATTTTTGGGCCTAAGTAAAGCTTTCGCATATCCAATTTGCTTCCGAACATGTACTCTGATGGGTAAAAGTAAGGACGTTTCAAAAATAGGGGTAAAATGGTCATTTTGGAAGTCACTTCTTTTACTAGCCTTTTAAAGTCTTTCCCCCCTAGTTTCTTGTATTTCCTAGGACATTTGGGAAGGTTGGGGAGATAGGGGGATGAAAAAGAAGAATGACAAGGAGAAAATAAAGTAACCATAATTAGTTTCATTATTTCTTATTCTGAGTGTTATTGTTTATTGGTGCAATTCAGGCTATGGTTTCATCTTTATTTCTTGGTCATTTGAAACCTCCATTGATGGTCTCTTATTTGTTGGTCATTTGAAGCCTCCATTGATGGTCTCCTCTATACTTGCCAATATTAGGATGTTACTTTTGTTTCATTAGAACCTAATAGCTACTGTTCTAATTATCTAAAATGAAGAGGATGCATAAAGAACTTTAGTGGAACATGAGAAATCTCTCAACTTGTTCAATAATGCATATCTTAGTATAATGGGAAACTATTCGGTAATGGCCAACTTGGTCCTAGCAAAAATGTTTAGCAATTAATCACTTTAATCTCTCAACTTGTTATAGATTTCTAAATATAAATCTTAAAAGAAATTATTTGGAAAATGTGACTTATAAATCTTAGAAGGTATGATTAAAGTAATCGCTTTAATAAATGTAGGGCTCACTTTAGTTAATTTGGAAAAGCTTTCCTTCCAATATCATGTTCCAAACTTTATAAAGTTACCTAAAGAAAAAGAGTGGACTCAAAGTTCTTATAATTCTAATCCAAAATGTTAAAAAGAAAAATGTACTGCTATAAAAGATACTATTTTTATCTATTGTAAAGGACTTTTTTTCATTTGTATAGGAAAAGACATTGCTAAAAGAGATATAGATAGTGCTCTCTCTATCCCTTATTATAAAATCCATTGAACTATATTATGTGGTTTAAGAAAACTGTTAAAATTAGTTAAAAGTAATAAATATATTAGAAATATACTTTTTTCAAATATACCCTTATTTATAAGTGGGTAGGTGCGAATGAGGAAAAAAATGAAAGAGAATGTATGGGGAAAAGGTAATAAGATAGAATATATTAATTAAGGGTAAAGTGGATAAAAATACATTTATTATTTAGATAAACCCAATGGAATCTTATAAAAAGGGGACAACCCGATTCAAAAAATTGGATCTTATAATAAGGGATGGAAGAGTATATATATTTCTCAATTCACAATAGATTAAAAAAAGGACTATTTTTGTCTACTGGAGCCAAAACAGATGAAAATAGTATAATTATTTTCGTCCATTATGGGACTATTTTTATCTATTTTGGCTCCAATAGACGAAAATAGTCTCCCTTTTTTGGTCTGTTGACTATTTTCATTTGTTTGGGCCAAAACAGACAAAAATAATTGGCTGTTTTTATTTGCTTTAGCTTAATAAATAAAAATAATGATTTTTTAAAAAATAGAATTTTGAATTATTTGTATTCTCAATTTAATCTAATTCAGCTCAATTCCAATTTAAGCAATTCAAAACAAAGTTCACATATTCAATCCAACACAATTTAATTCAACCACTTAATATATAAGTTTATGACTAATATGTTTATTTCAATGGACCAGAAATTATCATGCGTAAATATTCTAACATTGTGCCTAATGTGATGAATCCAATGTAATTGGACCTAAAAGAAAACAAGCTAAGAACACAAAACCAAAACTCTGTTAACAACATTGGAACTAACTTTAGAAAATATCTAGTCATGTTTTGTTAGTTTGCATAGGTATGTGAAATATATAGTGGACGTAGATAAATATGTGAAATAAAAATAAGCTTCCACTTTTGGGAATAGAAGAAAAAACAGGAAGAAGTTGGGAAATTAACAAAGAAGCCTAAAACAAAATATATCATTTTCCTTTTTCACACACTTAGCTACCATGTATATTTATGTACAAATTACATTTATAGTTTTCTAAAATTTAACATGAAAATTAAATAACATTACCCTTAAATTTCATTCCTTAATACATTAGTAATACTTAATTAACAAGTTTACTAAGCTTTTAATTTTCAAATGCTTCGCCCAATAATAATGTTCAATGCTTCCTAAATACAATTTCTTACCAAGAATCAATTAAAACAAAAAATTAAAGCAAACTATTGAACCCAACATTTTATATATAATCACATTTCAAAAAAGTCTCAAATTAAATATGACATTCTCAACCACCATAATATATATGTTCAAATATCATCTATAGCATTCTAAAAATCAACATGGAGATTAAACAACCTTGGTCTTAAATTTCAATCCTTGATATATTGAGAATACTTAATTAAGTACCATATTCCAACCAAATTCCTCTCCTGGATATTTTTTCAAACACCTTATGTGCATTACCATTCTAACAAATTTACCAAGCTTTGAATCTTTAAATGCTTTGCCTAATCAATGTTCATTGCTTCCTAAATGCAATTCTTTACCAATAATCAATTTAAATAGAAAATTTATGCGCCCATAAAACACTTATATTCATCACTTTGAATACCCACATAACCAAATAAAATAGCAATCACACACACCTAAAATATGTAGCACCTATACCAAACAAGGGGAATAGTGCTTAACTTACCTTGCAACTAGCCATGGAGTTTCACGCTCTTAAACTTATAACTATCATGGAGAAGATGAGCTGAAAAATCACAACTTTTAGAAATGCAAAATCATAACTTTTTTACAGCAAAATGATAAGGAGAGTTGCAATATATGTCCTCACCGCAAGCTGAGTTGTCCACTGCGAGTTTCGGCATGTATACACATTGTCGTTGTGAGTTTGTTAATAGAGAAGAGATATGCTGTGGAAAGGAGGAGAATGTATAGGGTTTTCTATCTTAGGGCTATTCAATCTAATTTATAGCATTTAAACATCCATTCTCATCTGTTGAAGGATAATATATGAGTGTATAAACATATACTCATCTATTCATGGAGAACAAACGAGTATATATTCATATACTCATCTGTTTTCTTTTGACAAACTTGTATATATGCCTTTTTTTTACCTTTTGTTTTTTAAAACAAAAAAGAATGGAGTGCATAAAATGTTCATTTTGTAGTAGTGATATGATAAAACATAAAGAAATTCAGAATGAATCTGATCAAGTTAGAACATTTCAAATTTGAAATAATTTCATATATTATTACATCATACACAGAATCACTCTAATTTACAACAATACATGCTATCCAAAGAAAAGGTTAAAGAAATAGTACTTAAGATGTGATTTAACAATTACTCAACTAATAATGTCCCTAGCATTTTCCATTAACAAAGCCTTGATGTTTTTCAATGACACTGCAACATCAATCATAGTAAGTCGTGCTTCAGGTAAGTCATTGCAACACTTTAATGCTAGATCAAAAACTGATGATATATGACATAATATATTATCAGTATTTTGATTTTTTCTATGCAACAAATTTACATCTATAATATTGATGATTGAATATGGTGTGGATTTTCTCACCCAGTCTTTCAAACTTAATCCTTGAACAAACATCTCATCTGTTGGCTTCTTCCTCGTGAACATTTCCATCAGCAAAATACCATAGCTATACACATCTCCTTTTGCAGACACAACTCCTTTTGATCCATACTCTATATGTCATGTTGAATGATCAGTATAAAAGTCATGATGACAAAAAACATAAGGTTTGTCTGTTGTTAAACTTTTTTTTGCATCATCCATTCAAATATTTACATATGAAGGCATGAAATATTTGCTAGAAATTAAATAGTATAGAATTTTATAAAGTATGCATGATAAACAAAAGAACATAGAAATAAATCCATAATAGTATTATTAATCCATTACCTGGTGCCATATAGCCAATAGTAGCCAAAGATTTGGTATAAATTTCTGATTGCTTTTCACCAAATAGTTTAGCAATACCAAAATCGCTAAGATGAGCCACCATATCTTCATCTAACAAAATATTGCTTGGTTTCACATCGCAATGAACAACTAGTATAGGAGAACCATGATGAAGATACTCCAAAGCTGTTGCCACATCTATCATTATGTTTAGCCTTTGCAAGACATTTAAATAATAGTTATGAGAGTACAACCATTTGTCGAGACTCCCATTTACCATGAATTCCATTATTAGAGATTTGAAATGATCGTTTGAGCAACTGCTGATGGTTTTAATGAGATTGCGATGGCGTAAATTGCATATGGCAGCACATTCAATATCAAAACTTCTCAGTGCTTCTTCCATATCTAAGTTATTAAATACTTTGACAGCAACTATATTTTCATTCGGAAGGATTGCTTTGTATACTGATCCAAAACTTCCAGAGCCTAAAAGATTACTCTCATCAAATCCATTTGTTCCTTGTAGAAGTTCATAATAGGATATTCTAGTTGGTGTATCCAAATTTGTTAGATCCTTTTTGGTTGAATAATTATCATTATCTCTCTTATGCTTTAGAAAGATAATGCTTGAAACAACCAAAATGACAAACATGATGGGCAATAAGCATTTTATCATTAGCATCACTTTATTTGATATGCGCTTACTTCCTCTCCTACATGGTTGAACTTGTAGTTGGGATTTCCCACAAAGATCTTTATTCATCAAAAAAGATTGGCCAATAAAGTTTTGAAAAGGACCACGATCTAGAATTTCTCCATGCAATAAATTGTAGGAAAGATTGATGTAGTTAAGATAGAGTAATGACTCTAAGGATTTTGGAATCACCCCATATAAGTAATTATGAGAAAGGTCCATAGACTCTATGCTTATCATGCCACTAAATGCTTCAGGAATAGGCCCTTGCAATTTGTTGTGAGCTAAGGATAGAGTTTGTAAAGTTTGCAAGCTGCCCATAGTTGCAGGGATGCTTCCTGAAATTTGGTTTCTGGACAAGTTCAATAGTGTAATTGCTCTCAAGTTTGATAGCTCCGGTAAAATCACTCCACTTAGTGCATTAGAGGATATGTCTAAAATCAAGATATCTTTGAGATCCCAAAGAGAAGAGGTTATATGAGATATCAATTTGTTAGAGCTAAAATTTAACTTCCGCAAAGAAGTATTTCTGAGACATCCTGGAATTGCTCCTGAAAACATGTTCTTGGCAAGATACAACTCACTTAGACCTTTGAGTTGGCAAAGTTCATTTATAATGAACCCGTGCAATTTGTTGTTACTTAGACTTAAACGTTGAAGGTTATGTAATTGGTTAAATATGTCTGGAATCAACCCTGTCAAATGATTCTCACCCAAATCTAATTCTATCAAGTTTGTTAAACTTTTGATGGTAGTGGGTATAGCTCCATTAAATTTATTCGATGCCAAATCTAACTTAATGAGCTTAGAAGCATTTGCTATGGTATTTGGAATTTGTCCAGTTAGTTCATTTCCTTCCAAATGTAACTCCTGCAGGTTGGGAAGACCAATTCCTAAATATGATGGCAAAAGGCCAGAGAGGACATTCCCACCAAGGAACACTCTTGTCAATGTTGAAATGTTAAATATATTGGAAGGAATAGGTCCATGCAAATTGTTTGATCCCAAGGCTAACGTTTCAAGTCTAACAAGATTGCCTACATCCTCGGGTATATAACCTGGAAATAAAAAGTTGAATGGACTCCTTAAAAGAAACCAAAATAGATAATAATGTTTGCAGATAATATACATGCATACTATAACATAGAAAACTATACTTCTCTTACTAATTCCAAAAACTCAATGTTTATTAATGCTCACATGTTGAATATATTAAAAAGAACAAGGTCAAGTCTAACACATTAAGTTTATCAAGTTTGCCTATATTTTTAGGTACAAAACCTGGACATGAAAAAACTGATGGAAATCATAACTTTTATATAGTTTAGACAAGAATATATACAAATACATTTAGAATTAAATACTCTAATCTTTCTTGTATTTTGTCCTAATTAAACAGACCTCCCCTCTCTTTTAAAAACATACACTTAAATCCAAATTGTTAATTTTGTTAAAAATATTTTTAAAAGATTTTTAATTAAAATTTATATTAAAATTTTTTATTTACTAATTTATCCTTCATAATACTAAATCCCTAAATGTTGGCTAAAAATTTTTCCTTCCTGAATTTTATTTTTTTTACTTTTTGCAAATAGTTATTTGTTTAATGTTTTTATCATATTGGGATAGAAAATTAAGTAATTTAGTTAATGTAGACTTAAAACCTTGAATGGAAATTTGATTAATTTTTTAAGTAAATATATAATTGACTGAATAAGTTACAAATATTTCTAATAAAATTTTTATTTAAAATTTTTAAATTATAAATTTAAATGACTTCCATAATCTCTCAAACTGAGACAATTTATATTATATGATGAGAAAAAAATATATTTATTTTATTTTCTAGCCATTTAAAAAAACTAAATAAATAAGTTTCATTATATGTGATGAAGAATTAAAATTATAAAATTTTACAATATAATCAAAATTAGTAAATTTTATTATATTTTAAAAATTTGGAAAATACATGTATTAAATTTTTTTTTTTGAAAAATGTAAATGTTGAAATAACTTTTATATTAAGGAGGGTATTTGGTTCAAGAAATTTTAATAGTCAAACTTAACAGTCAACTAATAGTTAGATGGATAGAAATAAAATTTGAAATATACAAAGGAAGTTTTTGTAGCATAAATTTTAATTTTAAGGGAGGTTTATATATATTTTCAAAATAGATTAAAGGTTTTTGTAATTTAAGTAAAACTGAGGAGTAGTTAATGTATTTTACTTTAATATCTTTCAAAGAAGAATGGTAAAGAAAGATTGTGGAATTAATTTCACCTATTTAAAATGAACTACCAAATCATTTATATTTTGCTTGAAGGTTGTTAACTATTTAAAAGGCTCTAACTTTAAAATATAACAATAAATTTATCATATGCCAAAAAAAGGCTGAAATTTTATTTTATTTTGTTTAAGGAATTAAACTAATTTTATTTTTTTGATGTAAAAAATATTTTTAGTTATACATTCTGGATATTAGAAAAAAATATTAAAACTAATCCTTTTTAACATCCTTATCAGCACCTGAAGTTAGAAATTCACACGTAGAAGGAATGCGACCACAGATGAAGTTAGAAATGTTTATTGATTCATTTTTGTTCATGCAAGGCGGGTATTATCTTTTCCTGCATTGTATATATTAAAACAAAAATAAAAACTAAAGATGTGTAGTTAAAAGTTGGAGGACTAAAAAAATAATTTAAAAAACTAAGATAAATCACATTATGAGCAAAGCACACACCATGATCAAGGATTTGGAGGTTTGTAAAATCTCCAATCTCAATTGGAATAATTCCTGAACAAATTATATATGGTGAAGCTATTTTATTTATCAAAGTATAAATGATGTGGTAGTTTTAAATGGTCCTATCAGTTCTTGATCTTGTCTTTCTTTTATTTTGGCATTGTAATCACAAACTAAATATACATAACTCCTATCATATGAATGAACAATATGAATAAATGAAATGGCCAAAAAATATTTTATAGACCACCATCAATTCATGATTTGATCTTTTGATATTTTGGATTGTAAATTAATAGTTATATTAAAACCCCCCCTATGAATAGTACGATATTAATGAAATGATGAAAAACATAATCCTCATCTAAATTTAGTCTATCGAAAAAAATGATTTTAAAAATGAAAAAAAATAAAAAATAAGATATAATAATCTCATGGTTGTATACAGGGTGGCAACCAAATATAATTAATTAGTAGCAACTGCTTGTGAAAAAATTGATTGGACTTATAAGAAGAAAAAATAAAGCAGATCATATTTTTTTGCATATAATAATATACATAATGTACATGCATACTATTAAAAAAATTACACGTGTCTTATTAATATTAAGAAGGGAGAACGCAAATTTCTTAATTAACAAATTGCATGTGTATCTGTTAAGTTTAACTGTATGAATATTTTGTGCACTGCCAATAAATCATATGTGGCATAAAGCATTAAACTATTTTTTCCGGAAATTTTTCTTTCCAGGAGATTTTTTAGGGTACAGTTGAAGTGAGAAATTACGATAGCATACTTTCCTCAACCTGTTGATTTTGTATCCTTCTTTTCATCTCAGATATTTAATTTCACATACCATTGAACATAAAACGGTTTCTCTGTAAACTCGAATTCGAATCATGCGATTTAATAATTTGACTGACTATTGAAAAGATCATGTATTCTCGTTCATTAATTTGAACTTAAATTTGCTTGAATAAGCATTTTTTTAATTTGCTTTTAAATTTTTGTTTTGAATTTTATTTGTAATTGATTTTCTATGATTATCTAAATAATTTTTTTGTTTACTGTGCATTTTTCAATTCCTACACTATAATTTTTTAAGAAATATTATGTGTAATTTTAATTACAGTTAAACAATGCAGAATTGTTACATTTTATACATAATAAAAAAGAATTTTTCTAAAAAAAATATACTAAATAAGGAAAAAACTATTTACATATAACTTTTCTATCTTAGTAATATCATGACGTTCTGTCTATTCATAATCCTAGCTTTATTTGTTATTTTGGAATTTTAATCATATGAGTCCTATCATAAGTGCATACAAAATATTAAATAGAAGAAAACAAACACATATAAGTGCATACCTGTAAATGAGTTACCATCCAAATATAATCTTTTCAAAGATGTGCAGTTGCTTATTAAGTTCGGAATGCTTCCCTCTAATTGATTATCATCAACACCAAAGACTTCAAGTAAAGGGAGATCATGACACATTTCTTCTGGCAAATTATCCTTTAAATGATTGTTGTCAAGTCCAACCATTCTCAAACAAGGCATTTTCCAAAGAAATGAAGGAATTTCACCTATAAATAAATACAAATATTTGTTAATTACATGGTAGCATGGCAAGCAACTTCCTAATAAACTCACACGTACACAAGCATATAAATAATACATGGAATTTTGATAATTAGAGGCTTAAAACTAATAGAAAATAACTCAGTTTTTAGGTTGACGACGGTCATTTAAAAAGGACTCCTCTACTATCAATGATCAATTGAACGTTAAATTTCTTTTCACATGTGAAGCAAACTGCACTAACGCTGGGGATAATAAGAACAGCTATAATGTGAAGTTCAGTTTTGTCATGAGTTTCACTCACGAAAATCATAACGAAGAGGGGCGGATGTGAGAGCAGAAGTGGAAGGTGTATTTTCTTCCCATTTTCTTTTCATATGTGGAAAGAAAGTTTGAGAGGAAAATATGGTGAATCTCACACCCTATTTTCTCCTCCACTTTTTCTTCCTCCCACTTTTCTCTCCTATTTTCTCTTCTAGTTCTCTTTCGTCCAAACTTTTCTCTCCATCAAAACAGAGGGTTAAAGCAATCTTAATTAAAAAGTTTGCAAGCAATACAGAATAAGTATAAATAAAGAATAAAAATCTTTAAAACATAAAATAAAGAAATGGGTTGATTGGGCATACCTGTAAAGAAATTCCATGATAAATATAATTCTTCCAACAATGTCCCATTGCCAGTTGATATTGGAAGACTACCATTCAAATTGTTTTTGGATAAATCCAACACTCTTAAAGAAGAAATGTTGAGGAGAGATGATGGAATCTCACCTGTTTCAATTTAAAAGAGGACAAGATATGAGTTATACATATTTTGATGAGAGAATTGGATGTATCATAAAAATCTTTTCAAAGGCAAATCCTTTCGTTCAAAAAACAAAAAAAAACGAAGCATTGCGTTCACTTATATACATTACAAACGTGAAACTTTTTTAGAGCACATAAACTGAATAGCATGTTGAAAAGAAACGGATTACTTTATATATAAAAACAAACAGCAAACACATATTCCTAATGATCCAAAACACATTTTAACTTTTTTTATAAAATCAAACTGCCCAATGTGATTTTTTGTGTTTTTTTTTTGTTTCAAATGTGGTTTTTAAAATCGTCATCCAAGCATATTTTTCATCTTTTTATTCTCAAAACTTATTTTTAAAAAAATTATAAAATTCTTCTGGAAAGAAGAATTAAAAAAAACAAACAAGCCATTTATTTTCCGCGTCATAAATATTAAGTGGTCCCATCAGTTCATGATCTTATATTTCTTTTATTTTGGCATCGTAATCATAAGCTATATATAAGCCCCATTCTATGAATCAACAATATAATGAATAAAATGACAAAAAACAAAATCTCATTTTAGTTTTACGAGCTATATATCTAAGCCTCCGCTATGGATATATACAATATTAATGAAATTAAAAGATAAAACCTCATTTTAAATTTATTTTATCATGGAAGAATATTAAAAAGAAGAAAATAATAAAAATAAGATATGATAATCTTAATGCTTGTAAAGAGGTTGGTATTTAAATACAATTCATTAACAACAATTTTGATTGTGAAAACACTAAATGGACTTGTAAATAGAAAAATAAAATAGTTAATAATATATTTGTATAAGTGTACCAGCTTTAAAGAGAAAATAAAGCAGGAAATATATATACACGCGCGCGTCTCACGGGCTGATCCCCAAAACTTGAATATTTGCGTTATGTGGATTAATCCATGCATAAATATTACGAGGGGGGAAAGCAAATTTTGTCTATCAAATTTCTTACCTGACGTTGTGGTAATTTTGAAATTATGTATTTCTTTATTTATGTTTACATTATGACATTTCTGGAGTTGCATTTTTTGTCTGCATTTTTATTGAAAAATTTTAAAAAATATACCTAAGGATAAGATATGTCCTTAGAAAGTTAATATGACAATGTTAAAAAAATATAATTATTTTCAAAAATTAAATTTGTTACTGGCTAACTAAGTCCTATACAGGAACAATTCATTATCAATATTTATTGCCCAATTTAGATTATTGGTTCAGTAAAAATATTATGTGCATGGGAGACTTACATTTTTAGAAACACACAGAAAGACTTGCGCATTTAGAAACACAAAAATACTTATTTAAAAAAAAAAAACCTTTCAATTCATTACACTGTGTTTTATGCTTCAGTTCAGTTTATTATTCTGTAATTTAAATTTGATTAATTTATAATTTTAGATTTATTTTTGTTATCTTTTTCAGATTTGTGGATTAATTAATTCTGAGAAATTCTTATATATCATGTAAGCTGCATCCGTTTCATTCGACAAATAAGATTATGAGTTTACGATAAAAATTAATATTAAATAATAAAATTAATATATATTTTATGTTATGCAAATTAAAATTAAATGTTCTAATTTCCAAACATGTTGCTTGTAAGGCTTGCTTAGTCTTTTTTTAAGAAAAAGCTTCAAAAAGTTTTAAATTATGCGAGTATAAAAATACACACTTGTTTTCAAAGATTGATAATCAACCTAAAAGATCTGTTTGGGCTATTATTATAATAATATTCTTTTTCCTATTGGTATAACTAACCATTTCAAAAATCAGATGACAAAATTTTTTTATTCTTAAAAAAAATAGAAAAATGATTGAAAAAAGAAGAAGAAGAAATGGCCAAAAATACAAAAAAATCTAAAGCAATATCCAAAGCGCAGGTTCATTCAAAATGCACCTAATAAACTGTTATAACATACTTCCACAAATGAAAAAAATAATAACAAAATTTCATTTTCAAATTATTTTTTATTCTCAAGATTAAAACAAAAACAAAAACACGCATATGGTCTAACACAGTCATATAATTAAAATTCTGACCTTGCAAATTTTTGTTGCTAAAATTATAATGGTGAAGCCATTTTATTGATCAAAGTATAAATGATGTGATAGTTTTAAGAGTAAAACTTTTTTTAAAAAAAAAAAGGTTTTGCACATTTTAAATATCAGGTGGTCCCATCAGCTATTGATCTTATCTTTCTTTTTATTTTGGCATTCTAATCACAAGCTTAGTATAAGTCCCATTACATAAACGAGCAATATGAATGAATGAAATGGCCAAAAGAAATTTTATTTTTATTTTTCTCAAAATGGAGAAAATATCACCCAAAAAAAAGAAAATCATTGTTTTGTGATTGTAAATCATTAGTCATATTTAAGCTTCCACTAGAAAAGTGTACGACATTAAAGAAATGAACAGATAAAATATCATTTTAAATTTATTTCATTATTGAAGAATATTAAAAAAAGGAAATAAAAGAAGAAAAATAATAAATAATAATCTCAATACTTGTAAAGAGGTTGGCATTTAAATATAATTCATTAACAACTCTTTTTATGAAAACGCTGAATAGACTTGTAAATGGGAAAATAAAACAATTCATAATACTTTTGTATAATATGCATAAAGTACATGTATAATGTAAAGGGATGCCCATGAAAAAACTGAACAGAACCGAAAATCTGTTATTCAACAAAAAGGGAACTGGGTTCATGTATAACAGTGGATAATTAGCCCATACTTATATAGAAACGTAGACACTGGAGATTGGGCTTTGAGAGCCTAAAACCCAATGCCCTTGATTGAACATTACCACAAAATACTTCCTCCAGTTAAAAAATATTAGCGTCAAATCTTTAAGAGGGACTAACTTTTTTCTTTTTTAAATAAGCTTGTTCTAGATTTGTTGGATCATTTAATGCATTTTTTTTATTTTTCTCTCAAATTAATTATAAGCATCTCTCATTATCTTTTTGACTTTTTTTAACTCATTCTCTTTCTTTGTTTTGTTTTTTTAACTAATCCTCTCTCCCATTCAGTCTTACCGTAAATGAGGATGTTTTAGGACAATAAGTTATATATTTGACACATTTATTATTTTTAATCAATTTTAACTAACTTTTCAAATTACATAAGTTAATTTATACTTATGTTTTGAATAAAAAAGAACATAAGTTCTTCACAAGACTTCTAACACTACCTCCATTTTAAAAAATAGAAATGGAATACTTTATTTATAAACACAAAAGATATTTCTTGCACATAGGTAATATATATATATATATATATATAAATTGTTTGCATAGAAGTAATATGTGTGCATATGATGCGTCTTACGTACTACTTACAAAAACTTGAATATTTGTGTTATTACCTTTTAATATTGCAAATCAGTACGTTAAGTTTGACTAAATAATTTTTTTTGTTTATTTCCAATTAATCATGAACGGCGTAAAGCATTAGACTATTTTTTTTAATATATATATTTCCTAGTGATTTCTCACTAAAATTATACCAAAAAATTAATTAGAATGGTATGTTATATTTGTTTTCAATACATCTAAAATTATTTTTTGAATTTTGAGAAGCTAAAATAAATATATAAATAAGCAGACTATTTGGATTATAAGGATATCGCTAAATATAAACAGCTAATTACAAATGACCCAGAATAAAAATATCATTAGTAAAAATAAGAAATTCTCCAGCATTTTAATTCCGCGTGACTCTACCCAGCGGTGCATGAGGCCTTTTTAAACTTTCAATTAACATATAGTAAAAAAATGGTATTTGCAAATATTCCACACTCTAAGCATAATAGAAGTAATCCCAACTAGTGCCATGTGTTGAAAGCACGTTGTGAGTATAAGTGGGACATGAACATATATGTATAGAGCAATATTAGCTTTTGGGATTAAAAGACAGCATCACCATTAGATGTGTCTTTTTCCAAAGAAAGAGAAAAATAGATAAGCCACATTTCATGAACAGACAAGCACACACATCACAAGTACTTGTCAATAAGTTATGACTCTTTATAAGCATTTTTTTTATGAACACAAACCTTTTCATGATTCTTGAAAATGAGTGAAAAAAATAAAAACAGAATCTCATTTTAAAATTATTTTTCATTCCGCAGATTAAAACAAGACAAAAATACACCCATGGTATAAGATAGTCATATAATTAAAATTCTGACCTTGCAAATTGTTGCTGCTAAGCATAAGAGTCTGGAGGTTTGTCAAGTTTCCAATCTCACTTGGAATGATTCCTGGAAAAATTATATATGGTGAAGCCATTTTATTGATCAAAGTATATATGAAAGATATGATACTTAAGAGTAAAATTTTTTTTTAAAAATGTCTTGCACATTTTAAATATCAAATGGTCCCATCCGTTATTGATCTTATCTTTCTTTTCTTTTGGCATTGTAATCACAAGCTTAACATAAGTCCCATTACATGAACGAAGAATATGAATGAATGAATGAAATGACCCAAAAAAAATCACATTTTTGTTTTCCTCTAAATGAAGAAAATATCACCAGACAAAAATAGAAAATCGCTGCTGCTTTGTGATTATAAATCATTAGCTATGTTCAAGCCTCCACAAGAAAAATGTACGATAATAAAGAAATGAACAGATAAGATGTCATTTTAAAGTTATTTTATTATTGAAGAATATTAAAAAAAGGAAATAAAAGAAGAAAAATAAGAAATAATAATCTCAATACTTGTAAAGAGGTTGGCATTTAAATATAATTTATTGACAATTCTTCTTGTAAAAACGCTGAATGGACTTGTAAATAGGAAAATAAACAATTTATAATAAATAGGAAAATAAAAAAATTTACAATACTTTTGTATAATATGCATAAAGTATAAATATAATATAGAGAGATGCCAAAAAAAGACTGGAGAGAACCAAAATCTATCTATTATTGAGTGAAAGGGGTACAATACTTTTGTATAATATGCATAAAGTATAAATATAATATAGAGAGATGCCAAAAAAGACTGGAGAGAACCAAAATCTATCTATTATTGAGTGAAAGGGGAATTGGGTTTATGTATAACATGGGATAATTGACCCATATTTATACAGAAACACATACACTAGAGACTGGGCTTTGAGACCCTAAAGCCCAATACTCGTAACTGAACATTACCACGACATACTCTTACCGATTAAAAAAATATAAACATCAACTCTTTTAGAGGGACTGATTTTTTTATGAGTTTCATTCCGGATGTTTTGGATCATTTAATGCATTTTTTAAATTTTATTCCCAAATTAATTATAAGCCTCACTCATATTATCTTTTCGACCCTTTTTAACTCATTCTATTTCTTTTTCTTTTTTTTCCTCATCCTTGCTCTTATTAAACCTCACCATAAATAAGGATGTATTAGGATAATAAGTTATATATTTTATATATTTGCTATTTTTAACTATTTTTAACTAATTTTTTGAATTGCATAAGTTATTTTATGCTTATATTTGAATTAAAAGGAACATAAATTCTTTACAAAGACTTCTAACACCCTCCACTTTGAAAAATAGAAATGGAATAAACACAAAAGATATTATTTGCATATAGGTAATATATATATGTGTGTGTGTGTATATATACACGTTTCTTACGTACTAATTCCAAAAACTTGAATATATGTGTTATCCGGATTAATTGATGCATAAATATTAAAAAGTGAGAAGCAAATTTTGTCTAACCATCAAATTTGGTTTAAAAAAAAAAAAATCGCTAATCATGTACGGCATAAAGCACTAGACGACCTTTTCAGCAATTTATCTTGGCATGAAAGAATTTTTTGGTACAATTTTAGTGAGAATTCATTAGCAAAAATTTCAGATAAAAAAACATAAAATTATATTATTTCAATTCAGGTATGTAATACTTTAAAATTATAGAAAATGAAGAAAAATCAAATTAACAATTTGAAATTCATGAAAAATTATAAAAATTTCCCATTTTTTTAAAATAACTTTGGAACCCCTTGCCAAGTATTTTATCTTTTCTGCCTAGGACAGTAGGGTTGGTGGGATTTAATCTCCCAACCAGGTGGTTGCTAAAATTAAAAGTAACACTGTAATGCAAAAAAATAATATAAGTTTACTTTTTTATTTTAACTTTCACTCATGATAACAATTTATTTGAAAATTAAAATATCATAATTTCAAGCTTTTTTATTTGAAAATTTTCCAAATCATTAAGTATGTTTGCTTAATAAGGAAAAAAAAAAGTTCCACATAATGTATAATGAGTCTACATTTGGTACGTTTTCCCCCTTTTTGGATGTTTCTTTTAACTTCAAATTAAATAATTATTAAGAAATTACCAGTGAAAATTTTTATGTTCAAGAGCGTTATTTAATTTTACCAAGAATTGAACGTACAGAATTGTTCCAATTTTTTTGGCCAGAAAATTGTTCCAATTCAATGCGAATGAATTAACATATTTGTGCGTATTAGCAATTTATAATATTAGTAAATAATAGTTTTCTACTTTTTTTAATGATATATTTCGTTTACATGTTATGTCTACAAGATACAAAATTTATATTTTTTCTATAACATCGTTCAAGGCTTATTCATTTTGAAAAATAACACTGATATGCTCTAATTGATAATATAGAACCAGATTTATTTTAAAAAAACTTGCCGCCAACAACAAAATGGAGGGGAAAATAACCGACACGGAAGGAATGCCACACCACATGAAAGTTAATTATAAATTTTGATTAATTTATTTTTGTTCAGTTTAAATATTTTATTTCATGTTTTGACATGTGTGAAAATTAAATTATATATAAAAGAAAGCATATCCAGTTTGAGATTAAAAGAAAGCATCAAGTTCCATTCCATGTCTTTAAAATTAATCTAGCAAAATTATTATTGACTAGATTTGTAATATTTAAATTAAATTAATGATTTATCAAAATAGTAAAAACAAAATTTTAGACAAACGCATAATTAAAGCTCTTACCTTGCAAGTTGCTGCTGCTAAGATATAGCCACTCAAGTTTGGTCAAATTTCCAATGTCAGTTGGTATGTTTCCTCCATTGAATTTGTTATCCCCCAATTGTAAATTTGCCAATTCCTTGCATTGATGCCAAATGGAGGGTATCTCACCAGACAAATCATTTCCATTGAGATATAGTCTTTCAAGTTTTGGAAGCCTACAGCACACATTTGTTGGCATACTCCCAGATAAATTATTGACGTTAAGTTCAATATATTGTCGCACTGAACTATTAAATATGGAGGTTGGTATAGTGCTTGAAAGCTGATTATTTGAAAGATATATTGTGTGTAGCTGTTGAAGATCACCAATCTCATTTGGAATGCCTCCTTCAAATATTAAAATAATAAATAATATGTCAATATCAACTTTCACAGCATGCGCATTAACTGTCATATGTCATAATAAAATGATCAAATAATCCGCTGTTGAAATAATTAATATGCAGAGCAAAAATTATTATTTCACTGTATAAATATTGAAAGACATGATCAACAATTAATTTAAGTTAAATACTAGAAAGTAAATGAAAGAGAAGTTAAGAGTGTGGATTTTTTTAGGTTTTGTTTTCTTGCTGTTGGGTTTGACCATGCATATGGAAGATTTTTTTAAAGTATGTATTTTTAATTCATATTTACATTTGTCAATCAAGTGTTCCATTTTATGTCTACAATTTATTGAAAACAATTTGGAAAACATACTCAAGGATAAGATATAACCTTACAAAGCGAAGCTGATAGTGTTAAGAAATATAATTATTTTCAAAAATTAAATTCGTCACTAGCTAGCTAAGTCCTATATAGGGACAGTTCAAGATCGTTGGTGTAGTTGACAAAAATATTATGTACATAAGCCATATTTGCATTTTTGAAAACACATAGTAAGACTTGTGCTCTTATGTGAGAAATAACATAAGTACATTCTAAATAATAAAACACAACAATAGTTATTTTTAAAATAAGAATAATCCTTTCAATTCAGCTCGGGTAATAACGATAGAATAAATATTTTGGATATGTGATTTGATGAGATATTTGGATGAATTAATGTTGCAGAATGTATATGGGAGACTCATTACACTATTCTATGTTTCAGTTCAGTTTATTTGTCTGTAATTTAGATTAATTTAAATTTATTTTTGTTATTTTTCAGATTCATGCCAATTCATCATTTCTTTCAAAACACATATTTGTTGGAAGACTCCCAAAAAAAATTATTTTTATTATCTGCAAGCTGATTTAAAAAAATTAAAGTAAATAATATATCATAAAATTAAAATTTTATATTATCCAAATTAAAATTAACTGTTCCATTTTCCAAACATGTTGCTGGTAAGGCTTACTCATTCTTTTTATTAAAAAAAAAAAAGCTGCAAAAACTTTTTAATAACATGATAATAATAAACATCGTTTTCCAAGGTTGATAATGGGCCTTCAAGGATCTCTTTGGACTAATGTTATAACAATATTCTTTTTCCCTATGGCACAAGTTTACTAACCATCTCAAAATTTGGATGACAAGTTATTTTTTATTCTTTTAAGAAGAATAGAAAAATGATAGAAAAAAATAAGAAGAAATGTACAAAAATAGAACAAAACCTAAAAAGATAAAAGATAAAAGAGAACAATGGAGACAACACCAGAATCATTCAAAACACACCTAACAAACTGTAATAATTAAGATAAAAATAGAAAATTCAATTTTTAAGTGCCGAGCATCCAGAAATTAACAAACACGTCATTTTATATTTCTCCAATCCAAAATCAAAGTCAAGGAGTGCAAACTCAATTTCAAACTGGAAAATAACATATCTCGTGATTATGACAAATTAAAATTAATCAGAGTGGTGTGTTATATTTGTTTTCAATACATTTAAAGTTATTTTTTTAAGCTTGAGAAGCTAAAAAATATATATATAAATAAATAGACTATTCGTATTATAAGGATATCACTAAATATAAACAGCTAATCACAAATGACTCAAGATAAAAATATCATTGGTAAAAGTAAGAAATACTCCGGCATTTTAATTCCATGTGACTCTACGTAGTGTTATATGGGGCCCTTTTAAAATTTCAATAAACAAACAGTAAAAATGGTATTTGCGAATATTACACACTCTAAAGTTAATAATTATGTGTGTTTATTAAATTCTAGTGTATTGTCTATATTAAAATAACTTCCATTCAAAAGAAAATATGGGGCAAAATGAAAAATGAAAAGCTATAGAAAGAAATGTATATCGGAATCCCAACTGGTGCTTTTCGTCATTAAGAAAAACTTTCCAATCAAGATTGTTGGTGTAGCGGATAACAGATCCATGTTAATTTATAATCATCTTTGTGAATATTTTTGGTGGAGTCACAAAGCAGTCCTAACTATTTTAAACTTTTAAAATTCAGCTCGCCATGGCTTTTTATTTCACAAACAAGAAAAAAATAATATCACCAATAAATGTAAAAAATTAAAGTGTGGGGTTTGCATTTTGATTTGATTTGAGGTCAAGTCTTGTGCGCTTTGCAGTATCTTCAAAAACCGTAATCACAAATAAAACCCATTCAATTATCCGACATGATATTTTCTGTATCTTCTAAAACGTCATGATCTTCTAAGTAACTCCTAAGAATTTAAACAAATTTTTCTCTCACAATGATATAATTTGCATAGGTTAACAGGGGAAAAAAAAATACTAGGACAGAATTATTTATCATTAATAATGAAAAATTGAATTCTATGTTTCATCGCCTTACTATATAAACAGACAATTTCAAGGCTAATATTTGATTCAAAGCTAATTATTTCTTTACCAAAAGAAGCGAAAATAAAAAGAACAAAAACTTGCATTCCCTCAAAGTTCAATATCGAGCCATCAATTTGATAATATGGATATTTCACATACGAACCGTGAGTATAAATTGTGTATATCTATTTTTCATGTCTAGTATTTTTTATTTATTAATATACATAAGAAAAATTTATTATTTAAATACAATCCTTTTTTTTTGGAAGAAATAATAATTAATTAATAAATACTAAAACTATAATATAATTTAGGCGGCCCAAATCAAAACTGAATGCTCCAGATCCGTGGACTGTAAGGCTTTATTGTTTTGAGAAGGAAAAAAACAATCTTTCTGGACATTCTAAATGATATAATCGCTCCTTTCCGATGTATCAAAAAAAAAAATGATATAAGAGCAGCATTCTTTATAATTCCTATGCTAGCTCTTACGAATTCTCGAGAACAAATATTCTACCTACTTCAGTTCTAATTCGTGATTTATTGAAAAGAATAGTGACAACTACATTTTTTAAAAAACAAAAACTTATAAGAAATGCGCAAAGATAGCCAAAAAAGTTGGGGGAAAAAACCCAAACTTATGATGATTGAGAGTTTATATCCTGATAATTAAATAGACTAGTTTTCAGAAAACACAAATATAAATATTGGAAATAATAAAAAGCATACCTGACAAACTGTTGTATGACAAACTTAATAACTCCAGCGAAGATAAGTTGAATATTGTTCGGGGAATGTTTCTTGAAAGTTTGTTACCCGCGAGTCGTAAGATGTTCAATCGCTCAAGTCTTCCCACCTCAAATGGAATGGTCCCTTCAAGTAAATTATTATTCCAATCCAAAGTCTCCAACCTTGATAGATTGAATAGAGATAATGGAATAAACCCAGTGAGACTGTTATTTCGAAAACTCAACTGCTCAAGCATAGATAAATCTCCTATCCATGTTGGAACTTGTCCATGAAAGTCATTATAGCTCAAGTTGAACAGTCTCAATCGACGTAATTGAACTAAGTCTTGAGGAATTTGACCATGAAAGTTGTTTTCACTGAGATCAAGATCAACCAGAAAGGAGAGATTTCCTAGTTGTGGAGATATGCTACCCTTAAGATCCATGCCACCAAGATTCAAGGAATGGACCCTTCCATGACGAGTATTGCAGGTGACACCAACCCAATTGCAAGGAGAAGAAGAGACAGACCAATTAGCTAAGAAATTGTATGGATCCGAAGTGATATGAGATTTAAGGCAAAGAAGCACAGATATGTCGGTGGTGATGTTTGTCTGAGTCCAAGCTAAGCAGGACAGGAAGCAATGAAGCAAGAAAAGGAAAACAAAGGGAAGAGGTTTTTCCATGTTTCGCACAGCAGACTTGTCAAATTTGTAAGTGTTGTGCATCCAGCAATTAACAAACACGTCCATTTATACTTCTCCAATTCTAAATCAAAGTCAAGGCGAGGACGTTAAATTTCAAATTGCAAAATGACATCTCTCGTGACTACATTAAAAGATAACCATAAAAAAGTGAACACTAAAATAAAATATATTGCGTGATTGTGATTAATTACAGACTTCCAAATAATAAAAGCTTTTTACTTTTTTGTATTGTACTTCGTTTAAAATTGATTTATATTCTCTTCTGTTTGTCTTGTGTGGCTTTAATATTTCTATAAACATTTTTTTTGCTACATAATATTTCAATACACATGCAGTAAAGTAAATTGTATAATTAAAAACGGTATTTGCCAAGATTACACGCTCCAGGATGGAAATTTAAAGATTATTTTGTTACACCTGATAACTCAGATCTGAACGACATGTTATAATACATATATTTATACAATAACGGATAAAGAAATTTATATAATGGCAGATAAGAGCAAAAACAAAAAAACTTAAGATGCTGGGTGTCTTTTCATGAATACTTTTAGAGTATTTAATCACCTTATCCCTTTTTTAAAATGTTAATTTTGATGTAGTCTCAATTTGCAATTTTCAACTAGTGTATCATCTATTTTATTACAAGCAGCCTTCAATTCAATTTATTTTAATTAGGGAATTTTCAAAATGAAAATACATCCACAAAAATAAATTTATAAATAACAGCTAAGTGTAAATAACATTTGAATTTCTTTAAGACTAGCCAAACAAAGATATTGACAAACCACTAAACCAAAATATATTCCAGTTAATACCAACAAAGAGTTGAACATAAATGAAATCGGCGTTCCAAAGATTAAAGTTATCCCCAGAGACAAGTTGATGAAATGACCCCATAAATACATTAGTAATGAGAGAGTATAATTCCACTTCCTGAACCACATTTTCATTTCCATTGCATTATTTCATTTATGGTCAGTCTTGTAGGCCATATACAGAGGAAAAAAATTATAATTACTAGTGGGAAGAAGCATGCATGAACAAAATATCTATCAAAAGTCTACAAACTTTAATTGATTGTATGTATGCATTGGTATATGGAGCGCTTGACTTGTAAGTAGACCTCAAAGTTACACTCAATTTCAAACGAAACAACTCATATGTGTGCGTATGTTTGTAATTTTAATTTCGTAATATCATTTTAGTTTACCCAAAAGAGAATACCACAGTTGACTTCAAAAACACATGAATAGTGCAGAATTTAATTATTTTTTGTTTCAGAATTTATAGATTGTACGTGGCAAAAAAAAATAGTATGTATTTTTGTGTGTATATTTCAAAAGGCACAGAAACTGAATCCGATAATCCACTTTCTACGCCACAAACTTGAAGGGATCATTTGTGCAATTGTTTTAAAGCATTTTGAAAATCATATTGAAGGATAACATATTAACAAAATTAAAGTTGGTTTAATTTATACGAATATAATATGGGACATATTTTAAAGGAGTGTGAGGTTTGAATTTTATTGTTGAAATGAAAATCATTTTAGCAGTTAGCCTTCAAATACTTTTGTGAATATACCCAGAGATTACCCAAAGAAATTAGCGATCAAGAAGATGTCAAAGAAACAAATAAATATATCAAGGTCTTTGAAAATAGAGAAACTACTAACGCGTTTTACTTGCAAAACACAATCTGTCTATTGTGCATTAAAGTCAAATTTGCAGTTGTAGTTACAATTCATCTGGCCGGAAACAGCTTCTAAATGTCTCCTTTTGAATGGCAAAGAAACAGCTTCATTTGGTTATGTGTTAAATTTTATATTGGTAATAATTGATGAACTTTTATACACCGGAAAAAATAATTGATGATTGTTTTTACACATCGAAAAGAAATAATTCATGATTTTTGAAATTCTTAAAATTATATAAGCAAGGATATTTTTAAATTAAAGCAAAGCATGAATGGAATTTCCGAGATTATCAAATTTTCCCGAATATTAAGTCTGAAATAATCAATAAAAATGTTAGCTAGTAAAGTATGAAATCATCTCTTAGAAGATTCTAAAACTTTTAGTTAATTCCTTTAAAAAAAATGTTTATTCTGTTGATAATTAAATTGAGAGAGAAGATAGGGTGCTGTCGCACCAATAGGCTGAAAATGAAACACCGTATGTTATAGTAAAGATCAAATTAAGAAGCATATAAGAAATAAAATAAAAACAAACATGTGCATACTAATCTAAAAGCATAAAATTGCATAATAGATCTCAATCTTAAATTTAAATTAACACGATAGAAATTCAGTAGATGACCATGAATTTAACATTACATTATTTGATTTCGGGGTATAAAAAAGTCACGTGGGAAAAAAAAAGGGAAGAAAATATATAATCTAAATCTAAATCCTGGAAAATGCCAACTAAACATGCTCTAAGAATTTAGAGAATATGTCCTTGGAAGAATTTGAGGAGTTTTTAAATTTATTAAAAAAATTAGAAATTTCCAATAAGTCCTATAACAGTAAACTTATTAATCTTGCAAGTGTTTTAATTTTAAAGCATATAAATAACATCTTAATTTCTGAGACTAGCCAAACAATGACATTGGCAAAACACTAATCTTGAATATATTTGGGTTAACAACCAAATAAAGAGAAATCATGAACGGAAGAGGCAAAAAAAAATCTTTAATTATTTACTCGATCATAATGGATAGAGAGAATATAATTTATTTTTTATAATATAAATTGTTATAAAATTAATAATTTTAAAAAATTATCCTTAAGTAAACATTTAATTATAAATTAATCAAGAGGAGATATAAGATACCATTTATAGAAGTTTCAAGCTTAATAAGGCACGCTTTTCGTTCAGAAGTAAAGTTGTAAAGTAGAGTTGTAAGTAGTCTTTTTAGGTTTCACTATGACTAAGGACCCATTTGGTATGTGCTGCTAAGCTACTCCCTCAATTCATAATAAATGTCACAAAAACTTTTACATGTTTCATAATAAATCTCATTTTATATTTCAATAAGATATATTAAATGATTTCTCCATTATTTTCCCTTTATTAATACACTCATTAATAGTCAAATAATGTTTATTTAAAGAGCACTCACTAGGCATAAGCATGGTAGATTTTTCAAACATCAAGTGGTCATTAGAAGAAGTTGATGCAATGAAGGAAAAAGAAAATCATGATGAAGAACTACAAATGGCTTGTTATCACATCAAGGAAGTTATTTTTATTTTCATCGTATTGTATGGGTTATAGAATAACCCCATAAATAATGTTGATGATGACAAAAACCTTTTTTTCTTTAATTTCTTAAACCACATTTTCATTTTCACTGTATTATTTCGCTTACGGTCAATCTTGCAGGCCATATCTTGTCCCTATTGTTCACAAACGCATATATCAAAATTCTAAGGAGTTCATTATACCAACCACCCAATATTCATAGCTACATGGAATAATTGACTTGTGAGTAGACCTCAAAGTCATGTACCATTTCGCACGAAACAACTTCTATTTTGTGGTCTAGTTTGGCAGGCTATGACTAGAGATTACCCATAAAAAGCGTTAGCGAGAAGATGTCAAAGAAACAAACAAATATATCAGAAGTCTATGGAAATATGGAAAATATTGTCGTGCTTGACTTGTAAGTTACAATCGGTCTTTTGTGTGCACTTAAGCCAAGTTTGTATTCCTCCTGTTTTTAATATAAGACCTATTTAACTAATTTGATTAAATTAAAAAAGTGAGGAGAGTTAGTTAATTATAAGCAATATGATATTTTTTTTCTAAAACATCATAATCATCTTTATTAATATCCTCTCTCCCTCTTCTACTTGATTTTGATTGGAAGAGTATCGGACAATTTAAAAAAAAAAAATAAATATGAGAAATATGTCTTACATTTAGAACTAAGATTAACTCAACAATTAGGTCTTACATTAAGGACCCAATTTGTAATCACAATCCATTGATGAGAATGCAAGGTACAACTTCTAAAATTTTATATTGGTACTAATCAATGACTTTTTGAAATCCTTAAATTATATAAGCATGGATCATTGTTTATTTAGTTAAAGCAAAACCTGAAAAGAAATTTTAGAGATATCTACTTTTTCCTAAATATAAAATATGAAATAATCAATTACAAACATTATCTAGTGAATTATGAAATCATTGTTATAAGATTTTATTCATTTTCTTAAATCAGTATTAGTTATTTTGTGATAATTGAGTCTAGAATAAGAAGAAAGATGTGCACAGGCAAAGATAAAATGATCTTGACTCACGAAAAAAGAATAAAGATCAAATTAAGGAAGCATGCCATAAATAACTTCTAAAATATTAAACAAAAAGGTGTGCATACTAGCTTGGTGAGTTTAAAAGCAGAAAATTGCATAATACCCTGAATTTAAAATTTAAAGCAACACTTATTTAATCTCTCTAATGAAGAGAAACTAAGGTCTTCTCCACCATGCGATATGCGGAGCGGTGCATATTGTATATATACTTTACCTATGTGATATATAATTATCTTTTTTTTTTTAATGTTTGCCGATATTTTGAATGAAAAAACAATCTCTATTGCAAAATGAATGGTGACATGTGTTGTCATACATATATTCTTCATTGAATATGAAATAATTGATAATTAAATAATGAATATTGTGTTAAAATTATTAAATATGAAATAATTAAATTATTGTATTACAAAAATTAAATATTTTCTCAAATATTATTTTCAAGGAAGTTTAACAATGAAATTTAGTGATGAAATTTCATTCCTAATCAATTAGTGACAGAATTTGTGAATAAACTTTTTCTATCACAAAAATGATCATCACTAATTGATTAGTGACAAAATCAATCATCCGATCAAAAATGATTTCACATTTTAAATTATATATTTATAGCATAGTATTATACTTGAATAGATTTTAGACACGGTTTTTCTTAAAGTTTGCTGTAAGCATCCCTGTTGCCTGTAATGTAAAACTTGGATTACTACTACATTGAAATTTGT